CAACCACAAGCACCACAATCACAACAGTCACAAAAACCACAACAACTACAACGACCACGACGACGACGGCGGCAACGTTGTATGAGGTGTATTCCCTGCCTAGTCTTCAACTTCAGTCGTCTAGCATAGCTGCGTTCCCCTACCGCGATGGCGCGTGGTGCGAGACACAGCGGCTATACAAGGTTACCTTCAGAGATGACTTGAGCCAGCTCCCCGTCTGCGGTTGCCCTCAAGGCTGAGGTCTGGCCGCCCTGTGCCTAGTCCATGGCAACTCCCCTCATTGGCGGTTTCCCTCCCACCCCTCCAACGACGCTCGCCCTGTCCAAACGCGGGGTGAACATGCAATTCCATCTCAGGCAATCGGAGATTGTTGATTTCTGCTGTGTTTCTCAACATGTCTGGACGTGGCAGCATGCTGCTGCAAGTGCTGAGTAGCACGCAGCAAAGCTGTGAGGAGGGTCGTCTTCTTCCAGTCCTGGGAGAAGCGCAAAATTCAGCTGCAGCGTGCCGACATGACCCTTTCCTCGCCCTTCCACATCTTGTAGAAGCGAGCCGAAGTGTAACCTGCAAGAAAGAATCCACACATTGTGGATTTTTTTGCAGGGGCAAGTCTTTCTCAAGCTTCAGGTTGACTCCGTCTCTCTTGCTCACAACAGAGTCAACCTGCCAGTATACCAGCGAAGGTGAAAAGCAGCAACATCCCCTGCCAAAAGTTTGACGACATGTGCAAACTGTAGACTTGTATCGACCTGTTTTGCCGCACCCCACCTGGAGGATGGAGCCACGATGAACAGGTGACAAGAAACCCACAGCTGAGAAGACCAGTGTCACGCAAGAACAAACCAGGAGCTGGACCTCGGACTCGGCAAAGGCAAGGCAACCCAAGGCAGAAGTCTCCAAGCGTTTGACGCCCGAGCCGACGGACACGGCTAGTGCCTCGATACCACACCACACTTAACTACAAAGCTCAGGTAGGTTTGCCGTGCCTTCGAGTGTGGCGGCTTTCTGAACACATCTCCATGAACCAGCTTCCAACCAGTCTCCTGGCGACCGGCGAGACGCATGGGTATTCTTGCTGAACCCATGTCTGTAAAATCCTCGCCCTGGTCATCGGCTTCCATGTCGTTGTATTTGGCAATGTCGCCTTACACTGACATGTGAGCAGGATCCCGTCAAACACGGGCTGAAAGGCTAACAAATGCGGCCTCTTTTCGAGGGTATGTACCTCACTAGAAATGCCACCCAGTGGCGATGAAGTGTCCTCAACAGTATCATGGCCACCATGCCAGAAAGGAAGAGAACCTGCGCAGAGTGCAAATCCGATTCGATCCGATCGGAAACCTCGTCAAGAATGTCCGAGCAACTATCATCAGCGAGTTGATGATGGAGAACCTGCACAATCAGTGCAACAGTCCACCGCTTCAACAATTGCGGAGATAAGGCTGTCATGCTAAGTTGCACTGAGCACTGTACAACAACCGTCACAACGCAGCTTCCCGGCAATCCAACATTTCTCAAGCTGAGGCGATGGCCAATGAATCTGACCCTCATGCATCTTCCTGTTATTGCCAAGATGCTATGTGGACCGAAGACTGGCCAGTAGCGCGACCAAGGCACAAGTAGCTGTCCCAGCGCGAGGCCCAACGAATTGGGCTTGGAATCCAAACCTTCAAGCAGGAGTCTGCTGGTCAGGCCACTCTCGGAGAGGCATCGCAAAATCTCAGCTGCGCGCAACGTCATAGCTGTAGATGACGCTAACCTCCTTTGTCAAGTCCTCATGTGCCATTCATGTGTCGAGATAGATTTCATGTTGATTATGGTACTGGGATAAGCAATGCAGACTACTTAGCTCCCGATCTACCTGAGAGTGGCACGAAGCGTGGAACAGGATCATCCAAATCACCACAAGTCAGCTTACCGTCTCCCCTGCCGAAGATACCCGCACTGCAAGATGAACAAAGACTGACACCATGAGCCTCTTTTCTTGCTGCAGACTCAATGGAAATACCTGGGAAAAGAACATCCACTGCTGCCCATTAGCTTGACTACTAGCAGCAACTCCGGCGAGCCTCAAATCCAACGACCCTGCTGCCCTCAAACTCTTCAGAGTTGGAGTGGTAGTACAGCCTGTGACCATGCAAAGTTTTCGCAATGGCTGAACGTTGCCCAAAACAGCGGACGGGAGCGCCCCTTGGTTGTCCCTTGAGTGTCTGGCCCGATCTGGACGTGGTTGTGGACGAAGTAGCTGGCGGTGAAATTTCAGTAGACACGCACACACAGCTGACACAGCCGTCCGCCGTCGGCCTACCATCGACCTTCAGCCCAACAGGAAAGCCGTTGGTGTACCTCTGTCACACTGCCACGCAGCAAGTCAAGCGGCACAACAATGATGCAAAATCAAAGGCACGACGTGGCGCCGGTGCTGGTCTTCTGGTATTTCATGGTCTCGGGTTCGGGTGGCAGAATATACATGCACAGATCTGGCCGCATACTAACCTACTGAGGTCGCAGCACCAGGTAAGTTGTCCACTAGCCAGTTCACCTGAAGGCAGGAAACGTGTTTGTCTTGAGATAAGCTGAGAGCAAAAAAAGCGACACATGTGGCAGGGCTAGCCTGGTACTCATGATCGATCATGCGCTTGAATGAGCCTTTCTCCTGTCAGTTTTCTGCCACACATCAATTTGCAGTGCAAGCACGACTGAGAGGAGGATACTCACGGCCCCGGCTTCGTTACGGTGCACTACCCCTCCTCTTCGCCCAGCATCCTTTCACAAAGCATGGCACACGAGACGTTGACCTTCATCCTGCATCGAGTGCAGGCGAATTGTGTCACGCATAGGGAGAACATCTTCATAAACGGGTTAACTGTGTGAGATCCCTGAGGTGGGATGCCCCGGACATCAGTGCCCACCTCACATCATAGAGTGAGTTCTCAATTGAATCACCGAGCAGGATTTCGCCCAAATTCTCGGCAGCCACATGGATTTCCTTTCAGGGCCGCATTTCAGTGCTGCTTCATGCTGTCCTACGGTCGGGAACTGCGGCCTTGGGAACACAGTACGGAAGCACCTCATCACGTCAACTCACCTTGCTTCCCTGGTCCGTGAAACTCGGACACACCGCACAATAAGCTGGCCGCGTAGTATCTGTACGGGAGCTGGGTCTTAACCTCGCTTTCACATAAGTTCCCAACATGTTACAGCGGAACCCGCGGCAGATCTTCGCAGTCGCTCAGTCCTGGACCGACGTCAGCTTGTTTACTTTGAGATCTACGCGATCCCCCTCGGCTTGGAGGCTGATAGGATCCCAGGCACCAAAACGAGCTTCAAGTTCGTAGAGGAGGCTCGTGCCCGATGCAGCGGAAACTGTCTATGGCAAAAGTCTAAGAAGATCTACGAAAGTCAGAGACACAAAATCGGCCCAAATTCCCCGCAAACTACGGATGGTTTACGATTATTATTGCTCTTGCTACTGTCACTCCTGCGACTGCGGATTACTACCAGCCAGAAAAACGCCAAAAATCAACACCCGCCAGGTTTGCTATTCCGACCCGCCTCATACCGAACCTTCAGAAAAATCCGCGGAGAAACATGCTGAAGGCACCATCACAGTAAGGGAAACAGCTCCGTGCTGCTGAGACACATCCAAGTATTCCGTGGGAGCCACTCCAGGTAGGTAAAAGCCTTGCGCCTCCGCAGCTCTTTGAAACCTACCGCCCTGTCGTACGGTCCCCATGCAGGCAGACACGGGCTGACTGTCCTGTAGCGCAACTGACAGAAGGAGCCACCGAGCCATTGCTCAGGTTTCTGACTTCCTGGGTCTCATCATATGTCTCATATTGTCTGATCTGCTGTGCTGGCCTTTGGGACCCAAACACCGACAGTCAAACGCTTTCAAGGATATTCAAGGCTTCCAGATTTCATCTGGGAGTCAGATAGCCCCAATTCAACAACCTCCTCCTAATCAGTTTGCCCACCTGGTACATATAAGCATGTCTGGGGAAGGCTGAGATCTCTTGATCAACCTTGTTCTCGTACACGCAAGCACCGTGCGACATGAAAACCGATTCTCTGGTTCACTTCACACCTCATCTGGAATGAAAAGCACGTCTACGAAGCACAACGCCTGTTTCCTGATGCGGCGTGACAAACAATCTTCACTGAAGAGTAATCGAAAAAATTCCACCGGCATTTTCCAGTGATATATCATCTCGAGGTAAACATGTCAAAGACAATGTCTAGATAGAACAGAACCGTGTCACAGAAGCAGCTGAGTGCTCTGACACCATACGGAATTTGATGAAGCTGGCCTCTTGATTCGTTGCACCTGTATGCATGCACTACATTGATAGGGCAACCAGTACAGCCAGCCCCGTTTCCGAAGAATTCAAAATGAGCCAGGGCAAACCAGTCTCCTACACTCGCAAATCGCTGCCGCCAGAAGCGAAAGGTCCTCACGGACTGGTACCACTCATCGACAGTCTACAAGCTCACTTTCCTCTTCTGGCCTACCGCCGTACATTATCCAAGGTTGGGAACCAAGATAGGTGAAACCGGGTCTTAGTGTGTGTTGCTTGGTGCTTCTGAGACTTTTGCTCGCACACAAATGCCCGAGGGTCCTTTGCACTGTCCTCGACAAAACACAAAGCACAGCCACTAGCTACAGGTGACCAGTGGCAACAGGTACCGAATCCAGCAGCCCGAAAAAAAACGAGGTCAACTGTACTGGAACAGTCACGCAGGTGTTCAGTTCAAAGGCAGTCCTAATGCTGAAAATGTGGCACTGGGGCCCCAAGGGTCGGCGACACCGCGACACTCTGGAACAGCTCAGGCATTCCTGCACATCCAATAATATTTGCCGTCTTGGGGACCGCCCAAGTATGCCTCCTCCCAGAGCGTCATCTTAGAGCCGGTTTCTGGAGGAAAGCGGTGAAACTGAGCTTCTTAACTTCGGCTGGAGTCAACACGGTCAGCGTTTGCTGCCCCTGGCCGCATCCTTCTCACCTGGCACAGTGCATGTCACGGTGCCTGGCCCCGCTTAGGTCAAATAAACTGAACTCGGACAGATGCTAGCCTCGCAAAATAGCTCAAGGCTGGATGTCTCTACCAAGAAGTTGAATGAAAGCCAGAGACGCACCAATGATGACAAATTCAGAACTTCTCCTGTCTGCTCTTTGGCCTCTCAAGAAGCAGTGGGATCGCCCTAACCAGCAGTTCGACCACAACTCTGCAGCCTTGGGAGTTATGACGCCCATGCGCATCATCGCAACCTTAGCATGATAAGATCGCAACTGCATCGGCTTTTCGGCATCTGCTGGCCCGCCTTTGCTTTCTTTCTTGCTTTCAACTCGCCTTATGGGCCAGCAACTTTCGGGCAAAACCACCTTACACCCGCGAACTCCGCTGCTGTCCTTCCGGGCACAGATGGCAATAGCTGCAGTTCTCCTGGATGCTCGGACTTAGGATATGGAGACTCGCGCAAGCATCCCGGCTAACAAAAACACTTGCCTTGTTTTGGCAGCTGCCAGGCTTCCAGTACCATCTCAGCCAAATTATGAGGCTGTGATTGCGAACTTCTTTCAATCTGCACAGTGCTGGCAAGCAAACAGCAAGATTGCTTTGCACTTCATTCTCTGAGCAGAGGACGCGCATGGACGGCATGCACCTTGCAAGAAACGCACTTGACAGTCAAGGTGCACTGCTATGGTGACAATTGCGCCTGTTCCATGCAGGGCCGAGCCCTGGCTGATGTAGTCCGGAGGAGTCGCCGCAAGGGCAATCTGCTGAACAGTCGAAAACTGGAATCATCAGTCTCAGACACAAGAAATCTGGCTGTCATCTGCCATCAAGTGGAACTGGATGCTTTGCTGGTTGCAACCACGTAAATCCCGCATTCCTGCCTACAGGCTCCGAACTCTTTGCGAATCCAGCAAAGGAAAAAGAAATCGGAAGGCGTCAAGACGCGGATAGACAATGATTCTACATGAATCGCCTCAAACTGCTCATCTGCGTACGGTGAGTCCATCCTCACAGACCGAAAACTTTCGCAAATTCTCAAAGTTGAGAGTAGGGATGAGTACAGCCATGCGAGGACCAGGCTTGGGTGAGAACCAGGGCTCCCAAGAGTCAGTCATCGGGGAGTTCCAGACCTGAGGGACGAAACCAACAAAAAATCGCGGCATGCTGTCCTGACTCTGAGAGATTCCCCCGTCTTGCAGCCAGCCACATCCGGAAACCATTCAGCACCCGGTGTGAAATTGAAAATCCAGTCCTCTCAGCACGTTTGACCCTGACAAGCAGTCATGAAACATGCCACAAAGGTTCCTGTGGTGGCTCCGGCAAGCTGTCCGCCGGAGTTGGAGACTGCTCTCGTGGCTCCTCCAACTCCTCGTCCTCTTCGTCATACCTCTCCGTGTACTTGCACAGGTAACGTTCGAAGACAAGACATGTCGTGCATGCGCACTGCGCCATTTGCAAGAAGGAATGGTCAAGGCCTCGAAGGGATGCTTGAAGAAGGACGTTGAAGCTGTCTTGTCAGAAATACTCGGGCAGCATGCACTGGGTGTGCGACGAAGCTTCACTGGTAGTTCCAAATCGACGGGCTCAGCCATCATTGCACGTGCACCCACGCATCAAAATGTCTGCAGACACACCACTCTAACTCGCATCAGCATCAGGGCGGAGCTGTGATTGGCGAAAGCGTTGGGCTTCCACCAACTTTGGCTTCTGGCGACGATGCGTACGCCTCGGCACGAAGGCAAAACTTGTGAATACCACACAAAGTCCAGTAAAACTTTCTTGCGATGGGTGGACTGAGCCTGAGTGACTGACTTCAATTTTGACGGGCTCGCCACCCAGCACCTCCATACTTTCTGGGCTTTGGCCTGCCTTCCATGTCCCAGCACAAAGAGCGAGCAGACTCAACTGAATGTCGGAAGCTTCCAAGCAAGACGATGAAGACACCAGCTTTCGACAGCTAACTTTTGCTGCTGCTTCCCGCTGGAGGCCAGGAAATCGTCCAGTTCATACTAAGTCTTGCGGGTAGAACTGTTGATTGTTGCGGCTGGTTCAGCTCAGCTTGATTTGCGCATTGCTGCATAGGACCGATTCGGCCAGGCCGATTCGACGTCCCTTTATCCGGCAGCATTTCTGGTCACTACTAGCCGGCAGCAAGTCTGGTCACTACTAGCCACCCACGACATAGGCTCTATATGGCTCTATAGACCGCCCGTACAAGTAGGCTCTGCGGAGTGACTTGCTAATTCATGATATGCATCATTCAGACAACGACTCTTGTTCTACTTGGCCATACATCTCTCTGGCATCTGTTTATGATCCGGTACATGACTCTTCAAGTTTTCAAGAGCAAATCATCCAACGGGCAAACTTGTTGCTGCATATCTCTTGTTCACAGCTGCAGTTCAGTTTTGCTTGGATCTTCTATTCGATGCCACTCACCATACGAAGCAAAGTGTCATGTTTTGCAGCGAGAGCGGCAAATGTCCATGAGGGCGCAACGCGTTCGAGTGTCAAATGGACAATTACTGTGCGTGTGTGTGTGTGTGCGTGTGTCTGTGTGTGCACTGCCTTCGTTCATGGGTTATAAGGGGTCAATTCCTGCAGGCGGACCGACGCCGTGTAGGGGAGCTCCGTCAACCGAAGCTCTCCTCCACACCTCAGGAAAACATGCCTGCTGCCTGCTCATAGATCCCCGCGGGGATAGCTTGGGAAGCCTCAGCTTTTCACCTTCATCTCAGCTCGTGCTACATGATTTCCTGGTGTCTGAAGTAGGGGCAGAAACCTGGCCTGGTACGGATCACCTCACCCAGTTTTGTATGCCATTCCATGTCTGGACTTGGTACCAAAAATATTCATTCCATTTTTCGTTCTCATCATCATTATCAACATGATCTTGATTCATGTTGCCAACCATGAGTGCAATCATCCTGAGTGAGTGAGTGAGTGAGTGAGTGAGTGAGTGAGTGAGTGAGTGAGTGAGTGAGTGAGTGAGTGAGTGAGTGAGTGGGTGAGGGTGTTTGATGGAGTTTGTGTACGTGAACGCGTCCTGGGAACGTCTCCGATGCTTTACGACCCCCTATGGAATAAATCAGCTTAAGTTCTAAAAGCTTATTAAGCCTTGTGTAGCACAAGGCTCTGACAGTTCTGTGCAATTCCGTGCAACAGGCTCGCTTGCTTGAAAGGCTGCACTTGCTCTTGACCCACTCGTGACTCGTGCGGGTCAACTTCCACATGCTTCACCCCGTTTCTTACTTTGTCCGCGCACGCTCTTTCGGGCAGCGCGACCCCCTCTTCACTACAGGACAGTGGCGGCGTCGACACTTTGCGCCTCTGTTGTAAGGTTGCTTTGCATCCTTCGGTTCTCTGAGGAGCGAATCCTGAATTCAGAGTGAAGCAGCCTGACAGCGCCATGAACAACCTCCAGGCCACAACTATCGGATGTAAACTTGGAGCATCGTTGCGGCAAGTGTCCTTGCCTGTCTTGCTGTATCTTCAAAAGCGGCTGCCGAAGTTGGATCTGGGAATGTTCTGGGATTTGTCCCCGGTTTCCAGTGTGCTCGGCCTGCGTGCAGGATGTTACACCTGTTTGCTATTGATGCCCTGCTGGGCACAGCTTGTCAGCAGCAGCTGATGGTGAGGTGTGTGAATCGTGGATCTGATGCTTTTCGTCGGCAGGGGCCTTGGTGTTTTCCATGCTGCATGGATTGTTGCCCCATCAGCAGACGAAAAAGAGCACCACCTTATTCAGCCTTATTCTGTGCGAGCCTGCTCTTGCGAAGTCACAGTGCTGCTAATGTCCGCATCTTCTGTGCCTTCTTGAATTCTGCAACAGCTATGTAATTGGAGTGCTAGTCTCCTTGTCTCGGCTTCTCGAACTCGGTGGGATTCCTTCGGCTCGAGAGACTAGCTTGCACGTTCAAACTGTTCGAAGTAAACGCTGAATTTGATCATGCCTTTTGCTGATCCGGATGGACTGGGAATCGATGCAGGCTGTTTTCATCACTGATCATCACTGCACGTATTGCGCAAAAAAGTGGTTTCGATACAGAAGCTGTCAAGTGATTCAGATACTGTGATGTTTTGCCGGCAGTAACATCCCAACCAGACGTAGTGACAGCACAAAGCCTTGCCGATTTCCTGACTTTCGTATGCGGCGACTCTGCTGCACTTGTTACAATCAATCAGCCTTCGACGAAAAGCACGACCGTCCTGCAACAAAACTGCTTGTAAACTGCTTGAGCACAGTCAGCGCAAGACCTTGCAAAACCTCAGTTACCAGCTAGTCTGATGTAGAAAACTCTTTCCTTCCGGTCCAGACGTACTTGGATGATGGTCGCACATTGCCGCTGGGTAGTCTCGTTGCTCTACGAACTGAACGTAATGTTGATCTGGCTTGTCGCAGCCACGTTACAGAAGGAACTTTGTGGTTAAGGCTTTCCAAGACGTGTGAAGCGCATGTAGAACGCGTCCGGCGACACTTCTTGAACTTGACCAGGCCTTCTGCCATGGACATGACATGGGTGATTTGGATCGCATCGTCCACGTACTCACATCGTGAAGGTATGTGCGGTATGTGGTTAGAGTATTGTTGTGCAGCGCAACCTCTTCTTCTCCCCAACGAGAAATGCTGAACAGGAGCTTGCACGATCCTGGCCAATCAATACTTCTAAATTGCAGTTGAGCTAACAGCCAAAATTTGATTACCACACGTCGCTCCTCTTCGCAAAGGGGGTAGGCGGGATTTTGTTCTCTTTGTGGCGCCCATGTGCGCCAGCATTCGCAACCATATTAGCTAGTCACTACCGGGAGCTTGCGCGTATGTGCGCGGTGTTCGCGGAATACACAGTTGCAAGCACTACATTGCGAGCTGCCCAAGACCTCTCCGTTCAGCCGCAATTGTGGCAAGGCTTAACAGAAGGTCAGGCTTCCTTCAATAGACGGCTCATTGTACAACTTCCTTTCAACTATGGACATAAGAAGTTCAAGCTGTGTGACAAGAGTTCTTTATGTTTCCGTTCTTCGTCGTCAAGTGCTCTGTTGGACAGCTGCTTGTGATCGTTCACAACATGTCGCTTCCATACTAATCCACGGAGCGTAGAGCCGTTGGCCTGTTGCCAACATGTGTTGCACCGTCGGCACTCAACGCGGCAACTCTGGTGCTTATTGCGACACGTTGACCTGCTTCAGAAAGCGCTGTCGTATCTTTGATGCGTCGGCCGAAGTGTGGCTATTCACGTGATCTTCGACGGCTATCTGTGTCCCCGGGCACAAGCCGTCTTCCCTTCAGATACAGAACTTGAGCTCAGCTCCTACATGAAACACTCTTCAAGCCAGTGGACTCTAAGAGAGAACACCGGCAGGCCTCCATCTCATTCATCACGCATGAGCCTTACGAAAGCAGGAAGATGGCTCTGTGTGATTGATTGCACATGCAGGTCGAGTCGTCACAAAGAACTTTGGACACTTTCCTTCCAACCCTTGAACTCAAGGTTTTTTGCAACTTTTCGACGGCAATACACTGCACTGACTATGCACAGTCCTGCAAAGAACGTAAATCTCTTTGAGATTGTTGAACGTAGAACACGCATGTCTGAAGGAGCTACTAATGTCATTCGCAGCACGTCTATGAGCTGAGTCTGGGAATCAGACTGAGACTGTTCTACAGCAGGCAAGGTATGGAGCACTCTGTTGGAGCCGACGGTCAATCGTGCATGTTGCTCCATCTCGGCATTCCGATGTCACAATGTAGCTGCTAGCCAGCAAAGTGCAAGCATGCTTGGTGCAGGATTCTAAAAGACTTTTTCCGCCGCTGCTGTGGTGTCCGATTGTTGCGCATGTCAAACCGAACCAATGGCAGCCTGAAGCGGAAGTTCGGAGACGCAGATCCCTGCGAAGCAAAAACATATTCAAAAAGAAGGACTGGCCTTTGGGTTGGTCGGCACGGTTGGCTTGCAGTCTGGCGAAGATTGAGGTTCAAGCGCAAAACATGGTGTCCGAAAGCTGGAGCACGACGCAGCCGACCCGATCATACCCGACAAGATTGCAACAGCAATGCTGCATGCTTCCATAACGACTCATGGAGCAAGTCTGCATGGAATTGCATTCATGTCTTGACAAGGGCACAGGGCGCTGTACCTCGTGTGACCAAATCACGGCCATCCAGACATCCCAATCCTGAAAAGTCAAGTAGAAGGTTTGTCGATCAGCCGAAGCTACAATTGCAGAAGAGTGAAAGAAGGACTGCACGCACTTAGCCGCAAAGTGTCAACCCTACAAGACCTTGGCTCGGCTTCGCGACCTCGAAAATTTGCTGCAACTTCTCCCAAGGTAAACCCGAACGACGCCACATTTGCAACTGTTTAAAGTTTAACAATTCCGACTTCCCGAATATCCCCGAATTCTAAAAACAGGCAAGATGGGTGGGCCGCGAAGTGAGACTCTAGGAGTAGTAGTAGTAGTAGTAGTAGTAGTAGCAGTAGTAGTAGTAGCAGTAGTAGTTGTTGTTGTTGTTGTAGTAGTCGTCGTCGTCGTAGTAGTACTACTGACTACCTGCTACCTACTACCTACTACCTAGTAACGACTACCTACTACCTACTACCCACTGCTACTACTGTTACCACCACTACGACTACCACCACCACCACCACTCATGCAAGTACTCAAGATGAACAGCAGCGCCATCGTGGAAACAAGTGCCGGTGAAGAATTGATACCCATAAGATCCCATAAGGCAAGGACAGACATGCGCAAGGATTCGCTACATACGTATATCCAAGATAGACTGAACGGCTACAAGTCAAAAGACGGCTCCGAGCAGAAGCAAGAAGAACTCGTTGCTGCGCTGAAAGGGCGAGATCTAAGAATGAGCATCCTGGCAAGAAACGAAGTGAAGTCACCTAGATAACAAGTGAATCTGCCAAAGTTCGGGCAGGAGAAAGATGTTCCCGTGCCCGAATGAAATGTTTCAGTTGATGGGCGTAACATGCAGTGCAAGTTGGAGAGGGGAATGGATCTCATTCAAGTTGAAGTCCGCCCTGAACCAGAATACGAAAGCACCCTGGCCAGAAAGGAATACTCGTATGTTCGACGGAAGTTCTGAAGGGAGGGAAGGCCTCTGAGATCTGCAAGGGCTTGCTTGGCTGCATCCTGCGTAGGATCGAAAGAATTGCGCCATAGCTTTGTCTATGGCGTATGGATACACAAAACTGAGATTGCTGCAAGATACATATTAAGGTAAAGTTGATGCAAACACACTTGTCCACCTCGGAGGGAAAGCTGCCGAACTCGCTTGCCAAGCACTTTTGCCTCACAGCATCGTCGTCTTGCAATAAATGACATTGTTGTTTGAGAAGCCTGGGCATCCGGCTTCCACATGCTCTTGCACCGCAAGCTCGTGCAGTTGCATCTGGCACCATTCGCGACCTAAAGCCGTCATTGACGAAGTCGGCTTTCTGAAGCACAGGCGATGACATGAGGTATCCTCATGACAGCACTTTACTTCTGCTGAGTTGCGTGACTTAGCTTGGAAAAGAGGATGACATTGCGGCCCAGAATCAGCATGAGCAAACGTGGGTCTGCAAAATGGTTGTATAACGTAGAGTTTTGAGATTCACTTTTGCGAATGTGCAGGCTCATAGCTCAAGCTTTTCATACAAAAAGTCGAACTTCGGCTTTGTCGTCGAGGAACACTTCAGAGCGAGAGGCGGAACATGTCACCCCTTGCCTTGCGATTTTCGATGACTGTATCTTGACATCGAAGTACTCTGAGTTCATACCAGTTCGTCTGTAGCTGCAACGACCCGCAAAGAACAAGTCAAGCTCCAGGGATTTGTGCAACCGCCCGCTGCCTGACACATCCTGAGCCCTCCACAACTGCAGCGAATTGATCAACGCCAAAGTGGACGACCAAGCCGCAGCTTTCTTGCCTGCTTTGATAGCACGTCTAACGCGCGGCTTGAAGCAAAGGCTGAGACAGCGACAGCCAAAAAGGATCGTCTCAAAGCAGTCCAGGTTGGGCCGCTCCTGGAAGTCACGCCCGCGCAATATCGAAACACAGTTCAAGGTCCCCACACGTGCCTGCGCTTTTCCGTGCTGGAGGGAGACGGCTAAAGCTGCGCGCCATAGAACAGCAGAGACCTGTCTTGTGTGTACCATTCTGCACAGCCGTTCCCTTTCGGCCATTGTGCGATTTCTTCAAATATTTCGTCAAGTTAGTACCCATTACTTACTCAGGATCTCCTCACCATCCGTCTGGAAGGGGGCGGGAAACTGGCAGCTTCAAAAGTTCTGGAGACTCAGCAGCTCAGCATTGGCAAGCAAGGGGCCGAACCGATGGTGCGATATCTCTCGCTTTTTGGCTCAGAGCAGAGGCAGGTGCAGCAGAACAAATACTTGCACGAGATTGCCTTGAAAGACGAGGCAGGAAGCGGTAGCCTCGTGGAGGTCAGTCACTACAAGACAACTCACCGGCACACGGGGCTCATCATGGGAACTGCAGAAAAATCCAACACACGGAGAAAAGAGAACGATCGGCCCGAACCTCGACATGAAGCCGTATTGTTAAATCCTGCCGCTAGCTCAAGCTATGTCGTGTGGGCTTTGCTCTCTAACTTATGAACCCTTGCAGCTTACCTTGAAAAGAATCAGGCCAGGCCACGCATGCGCTCATGCAAGCATTGAGCAGCACCACTGATTGGAAGACGCCTTGTCGCAAAGCAACATGACACGCAACGAGGACAAAAGGATGCACATTGTAGTCTCCAATCCAATCTTGCGCCTGCAATGCTCGCATGGATTGCATAACCTGTTGGGTAGCTGTGTTCAGAGATTCAGCGTTCAATGAAACTACGCACAAACACAGAGACACACACACACACTCCCTCGAAACGTTTTGTGGTCGCACCTAAAGCTTCTCGCCACTTCACAGCAACATCCATGGCTGACATTGCTGCCTCAGGCACTAGGACTAGTCAGGTAGGATTCTGACCTCTCAGAAAGGCTCGAGCGCCAAAAGAAACTTGATCCGCTTCCAGGAAGCCACTCTTTAGTTCCGAGAAAACCTTCGCAAACTCACAGGACACGTTGCCGCAACGTTCCGCACATCACTCCGCAACTGCACATGAGCTGTGCCATGTGTGAGAAGCCTCATGTGACAAATGCCAGCGCCTGTCCATTCCTGTCAAGACATCATCATTGGCGTTAGTTACGGCTGCACCATGATTTTCTCACACCTGCACCATCAATGTAGGTGTTGTAGGTAACCAGATCCGGAATGCAGCGCCTGGCACCGACTAGTGCCGCGGCTTACAAGGACACCAGTGTGGAGTGTGCACCTGCGGGCGACATACTGCAGCAAGGACTGCCTTAGCAACACTGACAGAGGAGACTTGGAAAGCCAGAATCAACAAAAACAGGATCACCCTTCAAGGCTCGGGCGCACTATGCCAGTGATACAGTCGACCAAGGCTACAGATGGCGGAGTTCACTGCCGGCATTGCCCAGGTCCCTCCATGGCAAGCCCATCTCTGCAGGACGAGCCTCCAGGCACCTTCCGTGACGCGTATGGGGGCTCAAGTCACATTTCTGAACGCTTCCCCTCCTCCGCCCGATCCAATTGCACCAACTAAAGACATGTCTGCGACGTGGTCTGCTTCAATGGCTGAGTGCCGCCTTGCCGATGATGACACAGAATGAACATACCGAAGCAGACTGAACTGGGCACCCTGCATACACTGCATGAACATCATGGCGATGTTCCACAACCTCACACCGCGAATCCCAGATGTGAACACTGGATTCGGTTGCATCCCTTGCTCGAGTGCCTGTTTAAAAAACCAGAAACTGAAACTCCCTGAAACCGCCGACAACCTATTGAGACGGCTGCCCGGCAACATCCAAACCTGCCAGGATCGCACCTTGCCAGCTGAGTCATGTCACGACCCTCTTCGACTTAGGACGCAGGCCCCGGCCATATGACACCAGGTCTGGGGCGAGGCGACTCCGACCGCTGCGTACGACCTTGTCACCCCAATCCAACATCAACCGAGGCTCCAATCACAAAGATGCGGGGGACCTGGCTTCACAGGCAGCCGGCCATTGCCCACCACTGGAGCAGGCTGCAGCCAACGCATTCTGCAGCAGCACCTACACGTCTCCAAGTCATCTGCATGTGCTCTCGGTCACGGGTAATGTATAAGGGACGAGCTCTCGCACGACCAACGTGTCCTGAGAGCCGCTCCTGGAGAAAGGTCACATCAAATGTGAAGCCGAGGACTGCCGGGCATGGCCAATCGTAAACATGCAAGCTCGGAGTATCCAGCAGCATTGAATCAGGATACTGGATACTTGACAAATCTTCCTGCAAAAAACGATGATGCTGAGGGATGCTGAGGGAACCGCAAATACTTGCAGCGATGCCTTCCACTGAAGACCCTGATCCGGCAAGTGCTGCTGTCCAGCACAAAACACGGAGTCACCGGGCACATCCAGGCCTGAAGGCAGGAAACGGCCTCCGCGTGGAGCTGACAGCACAGGGACTCTTCGGACTTCACACCGAGTGTCTCGCGGACAATGCACACACGAAGTTCGCCGCACCCCCGCGCTCGGCTGAACACAGCCTCAGCAGTGATTCAACAGTCAGCGCAAGGAAGGTTGCAAAGAAGCTGAAAAGATCCAGGAACAGCAGGCCAAAACAATTCAGCTTGCCTGCCTAAATGCAAAGGCCATTCTTGGACCATGAGACTGTCGGGCACCCTGTAGACAAAGCAATGGCCAAGGAACCTCTAAGCACAAGGCAGCAATGAAGCCTGCGGCCAGCACAAGCCATCCTGGTCTTTGACATGACGGCGTCTGGTGCGGAAGCATGTTAGCTTGAGGCTCTGGAATGAGAGAACCATGTCGTGCATTCTGGCTTGCTAAAAATTTATGTCCGCCTGCTGTGTTGGCAAGAACTGTGCAATCCTCTCTACTGGCTCGCCTGTAGGACAGGCCGTCCCGGGAAACCTACTTTGAAGCGATTTCACAACAGTTGCTACTGCCCGCCCTTCCACAGCCAAACGATCAAGATTTCGGGCTGGGGGCTTGTATGATTTCTGGGGCTTCCATGGCCTCACTCGCTTTTGCCTTGAGTGCTGTTTGGTTTTCGTAACTTGTCTGGATCTTTTAGGATTTGTAGGATGAGGGGGTTGTGGGATCTTTGCAGATGCAAGGGCTGCAGGGTGTACCTATTTTATGTCAAGAGGCTTTCGGTCTTTGAGCTTCCAAGTTCTGCAAAAATTTGCACTTTGTCTGTACGGTCGTCGGGCTTCCGACGTGGCAAGGGTCACACGGCTAGAGTCGTTGATCAAGGGGCACAGACACCCTCGAGCAAAAAGTCAATGCACACCGGATCCCGTGACAAGATGGTGGAGAAGCGAAATGCTTGTGCTTGAACGTCTTGGAGTGGCATGCCTGTCTCAATCCTCACGTTCTTTGGTACCCGGCTAGGTGCCGGACTACGGGCTTGAAGCGAACACAAGTGTATACATCAAAGTTCCCAAATGACGTTCTCTTGCAATCCACACCCATCCGGCTGTCCCCCCACGACCATGCAAACAACACGAAAGAGCACCGAAAACTTCCAGCACTTTTCAGAATGTACGCGAACTGAAGGCTTCACAATGAGAAGGCAGTCTTCAGGCTCGGAAACTGAAGAGGTTGGATGCGAGAAAACGACCGCGGATGCAGAAACTCTCCGACAAAACACAAAGCGGCAGCCAAATTCTGTCCAGTACTGACAGGCGAGCAACTACTGCACCGATCTACACAGAACATGTGCTCGCGACAGTTCCCCCAGCATGCCCCACGCAGCCCCGTCGCTTGTGCCTCCAAAGCTCGGAGACAGGTCCCGACCGTAACTGAATCAGTTCGGATACCATCGGCGGACATCCTACATCAAAGCATAAGCAGCAAAGTGGGATCAGAACGAACAAGAAGGGTGTCCTCCCCGCATGCAACAAAGCTCGCCGCCAGGTGTTTCCAGCCAGCACGGCCTTCTTCACTGCATTTTGCTACTTGGCGATTCCGCTCCCACACTCTGTGTCCAGGCACGTTGCAGAAAATCGTAGCCAAGGCTCATTGTAGCTTGCTGAATCCGGACGAACACCTCGCCTTAGTGTAACTTCAACTCACTCGGATCTGCCGCAAGCCATGGCCGGTCGACAGCTGTTACAAGCTAGATTCTAGATGTACAGCTTCATGAAGCCTTATGAACCCTTGCGTTTGACTTAGGCCAAGACCATGATTTCCAAGAGGTGAAAGTCACAGCGGCAAGCAGCCAGCGACTCGGTGCAAGCAGCTGCAGAATTTTGCAAACACGAAGGTTGCACTGTTGCACCACGGCCAACTGCAGGCATTTGCACCGTGATCTCGCAGCGGCCGTCAGCAAGATGGTACCTGGCAGCTGGTCCCGACGGTTTTTGTCAAGTGGTGCGGAATCCGGAAGCCATGCCAGAAGCGACAAGCTGTGGCATCTGCCTGGCGCAACAGTTACAAACAATCCTGCTTGCCACGGTTGGCTTGAGGTTCCCAACTTTCCTGAATGAAGACCTCAAGGGAAACCCCATCCCTTCGACGTCGGCCTGCAGAAACCCAGCAAAATATCTTAGCAACATGGGTGGAAGCCTCAACTGCCGATGTTTCCAGGAGTTTGTAGACGCAAAGTACCTCTCCACGTGGAGCCGTATTTCAGGCCATGTCGATCCAACGATCGCAATCACGCTTCGAAATAGTGTTCTGCGTGGCGCACACGTCGCCACTGCAAAGAGATTGACACAGCCACGGCTTTGTACGATACCGCTGATGGCCTCAAGCTCCTGAGGATCACAGTGTGTCCACGTGTGTGGTTGGCTAGGCTTTCGCTTCAATGCACCAGACACATCAAAAATTCGTCACAACTCAGAAAACGACCACTGCAAGGCAGTTGACAGCCTTGGATGAGGGGGAGGCAATCGCATTGTTCAATCGCAGTCTGAGAATTGCTAGCATGTAGGCATCGCACAGACCGATAGCTATTCTCCAGTCGGGATTGCTTCTGTGTCTGCCGTCGCCTGTGGAGCTGCACAGCGCACAACAAGGCAACATGCAAATTCCTCATCCGTTCAAGATGAACATGCATGAGAAGCGGCAAATGCGTACAATAATATTGTCTTCGCAAGCAAAAAGTGGAAATGGAAATCGACTGCAGTGCCTTGCACAGCTCTGCAGCTGGAGATGGCGGCGTTGACACACACTACATCTGGCTCCAAGGCCTGACAACAGGGACGTGTTTACGGTTATGCCATGTCCGGGTGTCTGCGCCTCTGTTGACATGTCTTGAAACGCGATCCTCCGAACAACCTTATCAAAATTCAGCGGCCTGCTTTGCAGCATTCAAGATCTTCACAGCCTGGCACACCCACACGAATTCGATGCATGTGGTCTCGATGTTTTTTCAGCAGGGGCCTGCTCCCACGCCGATCGGCGTTTGCACTCAATGATAGCATTCGCTTTGTAACGCAGCGACCCACTCGCTGTGGGCATAGAAACATTTGCCGAACGGAGAGTTTGTCTCTGTGGCAGTATCCATGCATATGCTGCATCCATCCATCACCGTGGTAGCTTAAACGTGCCCGAACAAACTTGATGCATTGCAAACATGGCTGCAATCAAGATGCATAGCTCTTGCATCCACTAACGTTAAAGCGTTGTTCGCTTACGAAGTTAACATATGTTCATTTCCAACAACACAAGCTCCGCTCAAAGTTTTAAGCGACATGATGGCACTGATAAAATCACACGTGACTGTCTCACTGAACCGACTGCCCTCTTTTTGTGACACTGCCAGTGTCGGCTCGGAGCATCAGTTGGTGGGCATGGAATGATGACTCCAGATTCAAGCAAGCAGAGCGACTCGTGCTCGCGAATGGAAGAAGCTTTCAACCCGCTTCCCCAAGCCAGATCGACCACGTGTGATCCTTGGCACCTTGCCGAGACCAACATCTGCTGTGAAATCAGGGAAATGATGAAACAGTGGAGCTTACAAAAGCTCACGAACGAACAAAAACTCAACCGTCCAACAAGGCAACAAATCTTTTTTCGGCATCTAGATACCTGAGGTACAAGCGCCGTCGATGCTGGTCATGGCATCTCTGCTTGCAGCCTATGGTCATATCGGCATCACGAAGTGTGCAACTCATTGAAACCAATTGCACATGCACGTAGGGTTCTGCTATGAGCCCAATGGTCATGATTCTTTGAGCCAGGATAGTAGCGGCGACTCTGTGACATTGCCATCATGCACACATGCCAAGCTGAATGAAGCAGGCTGACTTTGCGGGACCGAGCTGGATGAGTCAAGGTGCCGAACCTCTCGATTCTTTTCACGCTGCCATCGCAAGTCTAAGGTTTGAAGCCATGTGCTCACATCATTACAATGGAAGCTAACATGATCATCGAAACTGTACTGTTGCATACTTGAAGAACCACGACAAGTGCAGGCCGACTGTAAAGTGCAAAGTTGCCATTGGTCTTCCAAGTACCGGGCTGCTGTTAAGGAACTTCGGCTACGTTACTAAAATCAGAAAACTACATGGGTGGTTGTTGAAATTATGGTCCCTTTTTGGGTACCCTAAATATTAGGTGCCATATTACACTATCTTTATGGACCCAAAATTTGGACCATAATTTGGACAACCACCCACATGATATACTGCATATGAATATCCTGGAACTTTTTTAAAGTTACTCAACAGCAACCCAGACTGCTGCTACTACTGGAGCGTAAACTTGATGAACCGTCTTTGCTGCAAACCATCAGCGAAAGTACTACAATACAAGGTAGCCTGGTGCTGGCTGCCCAGCCGGACGGCTGTCCACTCCGGCTGCTTTCGCTGCACAGTTTGCATCGCCCAGGCTTCACGGCAACACAGGTTGACAATGCTGAAGAGAATGGCCTGCTTCTATAAACTCAAACTTTAGGGTGAGCGGGACCGGTTGTTGACGAAGGGAAAGGGGGTTCTGTGCGAGTCTTGCTCATGCTGAGTCTTTGCCCGCCCCTCTTGCCCTTAAATGCGCTGTCCAAAGCCAGAATACCACATGTTAGCGCCACGCAGTGATTGCTATACTCGCTGTGACTGGCTAACCAAGCTCCTTTGCAGAATGCCAGGCTGTGCCTGCAACTTGTAAATGGAATTCAGTGGCGAAAAAGCATCAATCCTTGGATCTCGTCAGTTGGGATCCGCTAGCGCGAGTAGCTTGTAGAAGCAAAGCCCCGGGAGCCCACAACAAATTGCGCCTCCAACCATTCTGCACAAAACCTCCATCTTTGCCACATTTGCCACTAGGCCACTGTGTGGCTGAAGGCGTGAGGGAATGAGGGAATGGCAGAACTAGTTCAAGCGGCAACTGGCGGTTCGTCCATATTAGGGGGTTGCCCAGAATTAGCGGTACCTTTCCGGGGTTCCAAAAAGAAGGACTTTGGTGTTTTGGGCCTATGTTAGGGTGTCCTACTTTGGGAGACTACCATCTTTTGCAACAAGGAAAGAAAGAGGAACACATCTCATACGTCGAATACAATCTGGCACAATGCAGAAGTACAAAGGATCGCTCTTTGTTCCATGTTTCAACAATACTGAACAAGGCTTTAGGGCCTCTGGTATGAGACCTCAAGGACGGCCAACGGCTTTGTCACCACAGAACTGAGCAGGTTCGTTGCTTCGCATGCAAGGCTTCAGAACTTGAACCTGCAGAGTACCAAGACATGCGCACAAAAGTTGAAGCGACAACTCCCTGCTCATCCAGCATCACTTGGAGCGAAGAGGTCATAGACTCTGCGACACGCCTGCTGTTGACTATGTTGCCTGCTTTCTTTGAGACAAGTCCTCTTGACATAAGGGCACCGGACAATAAGCTCAGGTATGTTCCGGCAACTCTCACACAACTGATTCTTGAAAAGAGCCTTTCGCGGTGATCATGGGTGCGGGAGGGTTCAGGGGGTGCTAGCACAGGACATCATTAGCTTAGTTTTTGGTGCCGACGCCTAACGGGCCCGTGCACTTATGCGTATTTTCAACGTTCGTAGCGGGAAGCGGGATGGGGGGGCTGGGCGAGGGATTTTGAGCACGATGAGTGCGGTAGTTGCACCTGCTTTGGAGACACGCGCGAAACGGTGGTATGATGCGCAACCCTTGCGCTGTTCCGGCGTTATAGTTTTAGAGCGTTTTCTATACTGATGTGCATCTTACAGCGACAACGCCGTTTTCGGTAGATAAAAATGCGCAAAACCAAACTTCAGAAGTAGGCATTAGAGTGATTAGAGTGTTTCGGCCTTGCGGTGTGAGAAGGATTTTTACCCCGACGCGCGTCTTACCACAGTTTCGCGCCAGGGTTTGCGGCATACTGCATACCTCTGAAGGTGCTTAAACCCATGGAGCCGCACGGGCACCCCAACCTAGTTTTTCCTGTTCCCTGCGAGCAAGTCGAACTGGCACATACCATTTCCAGAATATCTTTCGGGGGCTGAAGCCACGGTACTGGTCTTAGTTACACTGCATGCCGTCTGATTGCAATGCTTGGTGTTGGCTTAGAAAATGCGAGGCATGGGAGGCCCCCCTGGCAGCAGGCAGGAATTGGCTGCAGGACATGAACCCCGCACTTCACGTGTTCCTGCGACTGATGCCGTCCCATCCATGGGATTCGAGCAGCAATGTCTGCGCACGTTGTCAAGCGGACCTGACTGGATCCTTGGGGCACTTTGTTCGGGGAACCTTGCCTCGGTGCCAACCTAAGAAGGACAGTGCAAAGGTCATTTGGCCCATACCCCCCTGGGCCTCTGACCAGTCCATCAACATTGCCAGGCTATCTAGAGAATGATGGGCCTTCGTTTAGAGCATGCCTCCGGTCCTGCATTAGATCTAAACCATCTTGGCTTCTTCGAACAAGACTCTATCTCACACTCCGTCCAGAACCACCAATTTTTTGCATTTAGCAAAAGCTGGCCAACCCAAAGCTTCGTATCACCTTAGCTATGCACTTGGAAGTATAGGCAATGGAACTGCCCCCCTTGCCCATGTCGGACTTCTGCTGCGGCTTCGAACCTCACGAAACGCGCGACGGGGTCATGTGCAATGGATGAAGCCAGCTCGGCCACGGCTCCGTCATCTAGCATAGGACTTGCAACGGCGCCCATCGCATTATCATTGTGCACCTTCTTCATGAAGGGCAAGACGCAAAGGAGGGAAAGGTCACAAGCGGTGGTTAGCCTTCAGACCCTCTGTAATTCATATAAGTCTGTCAGAATCCTACATATCTGGAGAATTCTGGAGACAAGGCAAGGCTTTGAGCAAGCATATGCCTTACAGCCACTCAAGCTTTCCGGGCCATAGCATGCAGAGCGCAGACGCGGAGAAGCACCAGTCGCTATGGCGCACGGCTTCCCGAGAAGCGGGTGGTGACATAGAAGGGTGATCGCATTTTGTAATGGCACCCGGGCAGTCATGAAACGTGTTGGTCCTACAGAACGGCAGTCTCAGACTCTGCGTGCTGTAGCTCATGAGGGCGAGCTTCTGATGTTTCTAGACCTGTTGCCAGCTTGCCTCACTGAGCTGTGACAGGAAAACCAATGATTGGTGCATCCTTCTGAGTCCGTGGCTGAGAAGAACGGGCGAAGAAGGTCTGGAGCACCACTGTGCGATCTGGTCTCCGATACCAGGGCTGTCAGTGTCCCAGCTGATGGTGGCCCGTGTGCATTGCCCCTGAATCCTGACCGTACTTATGAGAGACAGCAAGTCCATGACAACTGTACGTGTAACCTGTCAAACCATGAACAGTTATTTAAAAAACGAATCGCATGCCAGTCTATCCGGAGCCAGCCAAGTGCCAGGCAAACATTGGCGGAAGCTCATCCGCCCGGGCACGCATCACGCAAGATCATGTGCCCAAACACGCCAAACGTTTGCTATTGGCACTGCCGTGATGCCGCATGGAGCTCACACGTTGACAGAAGCTCAGATGCTTAGCCCGACCCGCCAAGCAGGGGAATGCCACTGTGCGATCTATCCGTGATGGATGTATATGAGAAGAGAGAACGAGGAGGGGGCAAGAGCCGATGGGGCATGAGCCATGCCTTTTGTGATGGGGCTTCCGCGAATTTAGTTTAAGCGAAGGTCTGGGGCTTGACGAAGGGGGTGACCCGGTGACCCGTGCGCATTGCTCCTGAATCCTCCTCACCATGCGTACGGAAGAAAAGAAGTCCCTGGCAACTTTACGTAGAGCCTGTCAAAATCTGCACTCCTGGCAGCGAAGACCGAATCTACCTCGACCATGTTGGTGTCCACCAACGACAGCAGCGTCGCCGCTTCCGCCGGCGTCTGCGTGTTGCAAGAGCCGCATGAATATCCCAGCCCAAGTAGGCATGCCCAGCTTTGCTGAAAGAGCTTCTTTTGCTTCCTGGCAGAGTTCCGGCGGCAGGCGCAGCGACAACCTGCACAGAACTCACAAGGATGCCCTGTACTGCAGCACAACGCAGCCTCTGCTGTTTCTGGCGAAACGTGGAGAGCTTCGAAATTTCTACTGGTGGCTTAGTGGCTTAGTGGAGAGTTTGGGGG